ATAAAAAAAAAAAAAAAACTTGATTGTATTATGATTCTTTTCTTCATGAAGAATGTCATTGAGAAGATGAAAATGCTAACAAAAATCTTAGAAAGCCCAAACTTCAATGTCATTAACAGTATTTATGTAATTGAAAGTTTAGTTACTTTTGGTTAGCTTACTTGCCTCTATTATAAGAGATCTGTTGTTCAACGCCACCTCTGGGCAAGTTTTATAATATCGGTAAGGAAGGAGGCGTGAACTTCCTTTCAATTAAAATTAAAAAAAAAATAAAAAAAAAAAAAAGTCAACAACGACTCAGATGCTAACAATGATTTGATTGAAAGTACAGTGATATTTTCTAGAAAATTATACATTGAGGCAGAAAACGATAACGGACAACACCGTAGATTAACAGCAATGGAGATGAAAGCTTTTTACCGGAAAAAATTCAAAAAGGTCAAAGGCTTTTCAGTCCAGCGATGTAAATTTTCCGGTAAAATTTGATTCAAAATTTAACGGTAAACTTTTAACCGAAGAGGGTAAATTTTCCTTAAAAGGTTGTTTTTTTTTTAAGAACAATGAAAATAAGTTTAAAAAATTTCGAAATTTGCAAGGCGGTAAACTTTCAAAATGTTTCGGTAAATTTTCAAAATTTTGCGGTAAATTTTTAAAATTTTGCAGTAAATTTTCAAAATTTTGCAGTAAACTTTACTACTTTAGCCATGGGTTTAGTTGAAAACTCTCCAGATTTAAAGGAAATATTTGCCCCCATATTTAAAATCTTCAGTTTTCCTTTAAATAGGGGCAATTTAAGTATTGAAACCTTACAAAAAGCAAACAAATTTTTTTTTCGCCTAGATACAAGAATCAAATTCAGATGTTTATGTACTAAAAAGCCAGATAAAATTTTTTATAAATATCTGTTTTAGAAGAAGGTAATGAAGATTTTAGGTCATCAAGAACATCAGCTAAGATGCTGCACGACATTTTGTACTATGTTCTGAAATCAAAGGGCATACTAAAATTAGTCCATAAACCATGCAATTTTGTAATCAGTCAATTCTAGTTAGTAAAATCACATCTGAGAATAAAATCTGATAACATAAAGAAGAAAAAGTTAGGAAATCCATGTTAAGCAGCAGGCAAAATTGAGGTCTCTTTCCCCACTTTTAAGAAGACAACCATTGTTAAAGTTAGAAGTTACTGACAAAGAAAAGATGAAGTTTATGAAGCAAGATAATGATTAACAAACAACTTTATAGATCTCAAGTTATTTATATCAACAAAAAGAGACGATGGGAGAAAACTCCAGGTAACTGATAATTGAGAAAAAAAAACTAGACAGTTGAGGTTTTTTGGAGCTGTTAGCAACATCACAGTAAATATATTATATTTAATTTAATGACGTGTAAAAAAGAATGAGTTGTAATAGATGGCACAAGAAACGCTTGTTCTTTAGAGCAGTGCCAATTATAGTCTTTATAGAAAAGAGAAATAGAAGCAACATCACGATGATGTGACATTAGTTTAAAGTTGACTGCAAGACCGTATCTAACTATGCGTTTTTGCACATTTTCTAAAAGAGAAAAGGCACTATTTAAAAATCTGCTCTAGATATGGTATTTTTCCGATATAGCAGTTTTACATACAAAAATGGATAAGAGATTTATTGAGATAAAAATTAGAATGCGTATTAAGAAAGTGGCGAGTAAGATAAGGAGATGAAACTTTAGCAGATGCTAATTTTACAACAGGTTTGATATATGATTTCAAAGAAAGATTGGAAGTAAAAGTTAGCCCTAAAACGCAAAGGCTAGATGACTCATTGAGTATATTTCTAATTATAATTATAGGAAGATTATTGCAATAACATTTACCAGAAAAAAAATATTTTTTATCTGAGTTAAAGTTCATCAGCCACTGAGAGCCCTATGCTGTAACAGAATTGGGATTCTTTTCAAGTTCAAATGTCCCCTCGAAGCAATCAAATAGTGTTGGTTTCTTATCAAGACAAGAATAAGTGGTAGTATCATAAACGAACAATGTCACCATAGATTTAAGAATTTTTGTGAGATCATTAATGTAAATTAAAATATTTATAAGGCCTAAAATATAATCTTGAGGAACCTTTTATATTACAGTAAATGAAGTAGAGTGCTGTTCAACGAAGACAACTTTTATACCACATTTGTTAAAAGAGAATCCAATAATCTTATAGATGTTACATGATACATCGTCAAAAGTGATATCATGAAGAAAACCACCATTCCAAATTTTATCAAAGTTTTTAGAACTGTTTAGAGCAATATCTCTAACCTCTCTATCTACCTAATGCACAATAAAACCTAAGTCACAATAAAAGTTATTACCTTTATTAAAAAGTTATTACCTTTATTAAAGCTGTAGAGCAAGAAGATCGATATAAGAAGATCGATATAAGTAAGTTATTAGATTTAAGATGAGAGATTAAGTGTTTATTAGCTAAAGGCTTTAAAATTTTGCTTATGGTAATACATCTGGGACGGTAGTTAGACTAGTCAGATTGGTCTCCAGAATTTTTAAATATAGGGATAACAGATGCTGCTTTCCAGCCGGCTGGATACCAATACTCTGATAAGCATTTATTAAATTGTTTTGAAAGTATAGACGAAACTCCGGAGAAAACTTCTGCAAGACTATAGCGGGTATGTTGTTCAGACCTCATGCCGTAGAAGATTCTAAGCAGGAAACCACTTTAGATACAGAAGCTGGAGTGATGTAAATGTCAAGCAATGGATTAACCTGTTTGTCAGTTACATCAGGTAGGTAATGTTATTAGTGAAATCAATAGATAATATTGATAAAAAGTTCCTGGCTTATAATTTAAGCTTTGTCTTTAAATGAGGTAACAAAATTTGAACCATTAAAGAGAGGTAGAATAACAGATTTGTTCTTATTTTAGACACTGTTAAAGACTCTTTAAATATCTCTGGGGCCTAAATAGAGGACTTTAGCTTTAGACCAAACCATTTTACAACGGTTTCTAGCAATAGTATTCAGTCTGTTTTTTGGAGAATTGTTTTGATGGTAGATATAGAAGTAATGGGTAAGATTGGAATTTGGAGCAGCACAATAAGCGGAAAATCATAGAAGAGTGAGGCTTAATTTGGAATTCTCAAGGGAGATTAAAAGATTCCACGCTAGCTTGAATCGTAGATGTTACATAAGAGTATTTAAGAGAGTCGTAAGAGGGGGATTCGGACAATGAAGAAGAATGAGGTATTAGTTTTAGAGAGATCAGAAGCACCTAAAAGTAAGTGTGGAAAAACTAAGCACTGGCTAGGATCAGAAACTACATATAAGTCAGAGTATAAATGAATGATAGATTCAGAAAACTTATAAATAATGTACATTATTTATAATGTCTGACAATGGTTTTTTGTGTTTTATAGTTTTTGCTATAAATAATGTGTAGTTAAAATAAACACTTATTGCTTCATCTTAACCCTTACTGTTACAAAAAATTTTTTTTAGTACTAAAAAAAAATTCAAACTAATAACATTAGTATAATTTAACAGTTATGCTTTATTCTAATTTAAAAATACTATTTTCGTGTAATATTACTATGCTCAAATTACTCAGTGTTTTTCAGTGAAATAACCTATTTTAAGTGTTAAAATTATGGTTTTGTTTAAAAGTATATACATGTATAATGTCATTTTGTATTACCGGTACTTGCGGACGGGTATTAATCCTGGAGTTTTTATTTAATATCTTTCAAAATTTGTCTTGTTTTTTACAGGCTTATAAACTAATTTATGTTTAATTCAAAATAAACTAATTTTCAAACTTCATAAATTCGTTCAATTATTCAATTTTTCTCCAATATGGACTTGTTTTAGAACTTTATGGTAAGTTTTAGAATTTATTTTATATTATTAATTTTATAATTTTAAAATATTTTTTTACAAAATAATTTTTACTTCTAACTTTATGTTATAAGCTTGAAATTAATAATGAAAAAATAAAAATATATATTTGCGATTAAATGTTTAGGTATACTTTTAAAATATAAAATTTATAGAAGTTCTATAGATTTTTCATTGAAATACTGTATAAAACATATTTTTTTTATTTATAATAAAAATTAGATATATTTAACAAAAATTATAAAGAGAGATAAAAAGGCTTTTTACAGGTCAAGTTATTATCGTTTCTATAAAAATTTCTACCGGTAATATGCTTTAAAAAAATTTAAAAACTTATGATGTAAAAATGAACAACAAAAAATGATTTTTTGTTGTTTTTATACTTTAGTGTATTGATGAAGTTGTAAAGTTTTGTCTATTGCAGGTACGAGTGTAAAATTTTAATCTTTTTTTATTATTGATTATTATGCATCATTAGAAAGAGGCTATAATCAGTATTACAATAGTGAAAATTTCATTATAAAATAACATTTCTGCAAAAAGTTATGCTCATTTAAGAAACAAAATTTAATTACAAAGATTGCTTAATAAAACTGCGACCAATTTTAAAATGATTCGTCTATCGATAGTTTTATTATGAAACTTTGTTGTTTTATAAGCGCAATATTTTGTTTATTTACATTATTTTAACTTAGGCACATATTCTGCTACAAGGTGTCTCCTACATAGTCTTTTTCAATAAAAATTAGCATGCACTTAGAAAATTTTTCTCAGTAGTTTCAAAAATGTTCTCTACATTCCTTCAATATAAATTTGATGTCTGTTCAACAACGAAATTAAAAAAAAAAGTAAATTTCATAAACGCGAGTGTACTACAAAAAATGAACAATATAAAAATGAAGTTTTAACTATTCAACTTTTTAAAAAACGTCTATGTCGTATAAAAAACACGCACGTACCTATCTGTTGTTTCTTACTGACAAATGTATATTACATTAAACTACATTATATCATTTTGTATGGTTTGAATGACCATGGTTGTGAATCTTAATTGTAAATAATTGTAAAAAAAAAAGATTTTAATTAAGATAAAAAAAATATATAGTTACTGCGCTAAATGCATAACAAGATAAACACAATTGTTGGTTCTTGACTTCGGTTACGTAACCTTTAGTTCTCCAATCTATCATATCAGGTATATTGACATTATTAGGAGGTAAAAATGTAGACCCTTTTGTGATATTTACAATGCTGTTTGGAATTTTCACACATCCTCCATAAATCTTTAAAAATTCTTCATGAGTCTAAATTAAAAAAATGGGTTGCCATTATTTAGATATATATAAGTTAACTTATATATATCTAAATAATTTTAAAGTTGTAAACCGGGACACGCAGGGGTTGCAGCGACAGAGGGGGCTGTTTACAAAGATCAAAATAATATGATTTTTGTTGTCTGCTTTTTTTCAAAATTTAAAACCGTGAATTTTGTTTGGGACAAAATGAAACAAAAAATTCATTTTTTCCGAAAACAGGACAAAGCGAAAACCGTTGGGACGCTGGAACAAATGTCATAAAATCAGGACAATCCCGGTCAAAACGAGACGTATGGTAAACCTATTTCTGAATGGATACAAGTTAATCCAGTTTCAAGACTTTGACATTTGTTTCTGAACAGAAACTTTGCTTAAGATAAATGCAGGTTTTTTTATACAGAAAACAATAAGAATTTATAAGATAACTTAAATTTTGTTAAATAAAATATATCGCTTTACTCTAAAGCATTGTAACAAATGTCAGACATCATAAAGCACTTAAAGATCATTATAATGCTAAAAGCAAAATCCATATGCAATTTATCGGCTTGTTTATCTAATTTTTTTTTAAATTGCACAATTCATTTCCAGACTTTTTATCTAGATCCAGATCAGATTAGGCAGATTGACAACTTAGTTTCATACTACTTTAAGCATAATTTAACATTCGCTAGTTAAAGTGGTTGAAAATAAGCAACTCGTACCGAGATTAGATTAGGCAAAACTTATTTTATCTAATGCATGAAAAAACCATTATGCCTAATCATAGTTTGTAAGACTCCCGCGCTTATCGTAGTTAAGTTATTCGTCAGCAAAGCCGAAACCGTGAATAATAAAAAATACCCGATGGAATTTTAAATTCTAACGGAAATTACATTTAAATGGTAATATAATATTTCTCCTTAGGCGGCCGCCTAATGTGCCGAACCCAAGACCCGCCCCTGTTTATATTAAAAAACAATTAGATACTAAAATTTAACATATTTTAAAGACTTTAAAAGAAACCATCAATCGCGTATATATTTATACGTTAATTACATTATATTTATAAATCATTGAAAAGCATCAATGACGTTATATTTTCGTCATTGGAAACCATCAATGACGTTATATTTAAACGTCACTGGAAACCATGCTAAAACATGGTTTTTATTTATACTTAAATAATAGTATCTTATGTAATATAAGATACTATTATTTAAGTATACATAAGATACCCTAGAAAGAGTTCAACTCACGTTTGCATTGGTAGGCACGCTTTAAAATAATTCAAAACCAGATTTTTCGTTGTCAAAAAAACGCAGACCTGAATGTTTTATCGCATTCACCCAGGGCGTAATAATATAACAGGATATAATAAAATAACAGACACATCACGGGCTGATGTTTTTTGTTTTGATGCTCTTAACTATTTAATTAATTTTTTATTTAAGTTTTTGGCTCCTCCTATATCATCACAAGATTTAAAAAAAGTTGTGATGATATAGGGGGAGCCCATGGTTTATTTATTTATAATTAAACCATGGGCTAATACTAAACATGTATAACCTGATTAAATAAAAACTAAAAATATGAAGGCTATTTAAAATGCTTAGCTTAGATTGTTGGTCACAAAAAAATTTGTTCTGGTCTTATAAAAAATCGATTTTCTATTATTACAAAATCGTTTTTAAGACAAAAACAATGACTTTGCCCCATATCAGAGCACGTCAAAATATTGCCAGAAGACAACAGTAAAATAGGGTAAGTTAAAATACTAGTCTTATAATACTAAGTAAATTACTAGTTTTTAAACAAAATACCATCTTAAGTTAAAATACAAACTTTTGGTAGTATATTTAGTAATAAAAGCTAACATAACAGTTTTAAGGCTTTAACTTTGAATGCGTTTTCTTTTCTGTAACTTTTCAAATTGTATTGCGAGGTATTTTCAGGCCACGACAGTCTAAGGCAGATGTGATTTTTTCATAGTTTTTATAATGCAAAAAAATTGTCATCATCTTTAATGTCTTTTCTAGAAACATAACCTGCAATGTAAGCTAAAGATGACTTAATATTTGATGGAAGTTGTACTAAAAGTTAGTGTAAAGGATTAAACATCTCACACTAATTCTTTAAAAGTTTGTTTTAAAAAATACCAGTAGCATGAACAGATGTAAATTATTTTTGAAAAAATAGTTTAGTTTTGCTGATATTCCACTTTTATTCCACTTGCATTGCGTATTTATAAAAAAAGTTTCCCACTACCTTGTCTAGGTTTTCAAACTGCTCTTTTTATTGGATCTGTTGTAATTTGCCCACGCAATTCATACACGTGTACTTTTTTCCAAAACTATGCCACCTTAGTTAAGAAAATAATAGTTCTAACAATAAGATCATATTTTTTACTTTGATGACTCTTTAATGCATTTATAGTCTCTTCACAAAATAGTTTTAAACATGTATCAACCTTGTGTCTCTTAAACCGTCTTTGGTTATCAGGAACATAAGTCAGCTTAGACATTTTAACTACCTCATCTTTTTCACCAGCCCATTTTCTTTCAATTTTTGAAACTTTTTGATGTAATCCCATTTAGCATTTCCTTTTTTTTTTTTTTTAGCGTTATATTTTTTTTTTTCAACTCAAGTTCAGATATAAATATAATATGCAATGTTAATGATGATGAAGATAATCAAACAAATGAAATACCTCTGACTTTAAATAACGTCCAATATCATCCATAAAACAATAATTAAAATCTGGACAACCGCTGGGCGTTATAGGACGTTCAAAGGGCGTCCAATTATTTGACAGTTTAAGTATTTCAAACAACAATGTTAAAACAGTTTAAATTTTATGTTTTTTTGTAAGAGATGTCATCTACTTGTAAAAGAAATCTTGGTGGTATTGGCAGACTTGGTATTGAAACAATGGTCTCAATTCAATGCTTTGTTTAAGATCCCTGTTGTTATATATCAAAAAACGCTGTCAGATAAAATTTTAACTGGTATAAGTTTAGAGACATTTTCAATCAAAAAGAAAGAAAAGAAAAAACTGTTATGTTGTGGGAAGGTAAGGTTGACAAATTGTTAGATATAACAAAATGTAGAGTAGCATATTACTTTTTAAAGATGAAAATTCTCCTTGTAATAAGGTTAAAAATTGTTCTGCTGGAGTTCATATTTATGTATTTGTTCTGAAGCTATTAAGTTGCCACAACTTGATTTATTATGGCTCAGGTATCAAAGAGATAAGGTTGGTAAAAAATCAGGCTGCTAAATAAATCAACTAGACTAGAAAGAAACAGAAAGACAGATTAAAGTAGTTAAACGTAAAATAACAGGATTTGCATCTTTAGAAATAAGAAAAAATTTGATCTAAAAAATATATATTAATACACAGGTCAAAATTGAAAACATTAAAGAAAAAAATTATAAATCAGTGGGGGATGACTTAAATCAAGAAACCTCACCTGAAAAAATTTTAAATGTAAATGAAGAATCCTCAGAAGACAGCCCTAATTATATCAAACAAATAAATTCCCCATTTATTACCACTAATCAAAATTACATGAAGATCCCTTATACAGCACTAGCATTTCTTTAATTTGACATATCTTCTGCTGCTACATCTGCAACTTTATATGCTTTTTTTAAGATTTGATCAAATCAAACTACCATACTCCAAAAATGGCTAGTTTAAAATTCAAAGGATGAATTCAAAGGGCGTATAGGCTAACTATTGTTAAAAGTAAATCAAATAAAACGAAAAAGAAAAGTTTAAACCAAACAGACAGATTGAACCTTTGATTAAAATTTCAGATAAAATTTTAAAGACAACCGACGTTTCACTAAGCTACAAGTTAGTTTATTATCTTGAATCAAGTATCTTAAATCCTTCAAATTGTCAAAAGAAAACGGGGTATTCTTTGCCATAGCATGTGGCTCTCATCTGGTCAGATATTCTTTGGCTTTACATTAGTGAACATGGCTTGGAGGGTGATATTTTAAAAATTTTAAAGTTGTTTCTTAGTTCTATGCTTAAGAATACTTTTATATGTGGTATATATTAAAGGTAAAGCACTCTATTGTTGATGGGCCCCATATTCTAATCATACTTCTTTATCTATTAGGAGGTAAAACAGTCAAAGTTTTATGCCAACCCACAATAGAACAATCATCAAATTAAATGAATCAACACAGTAACAAGACCTAGGTATCAACATAAGTAATAATCTGAATAAATATATATATATGACCCATGATGGGAAAAATCATCAAATTGAATGAAACAATACAGGAAGAAAGAATCTGAAATGGAAAGACCACTTTACAAGGATATCTAAAAAAAGCTTACTCATAACTAGGTAGACTAAAGCGGACATTTACTATGATATTTTATCTCACAACAAATAATTATATAATTGCTACTATAGAAGGATTACAAAAGTCCTACTCTGCAAAGATTTGTAATATCTATGCTGTAGAAGAAAATAAATAAATTGTATATATATATATATATATATATATATATATATATATATATATATATATATATATATATATATATATATATATATATATATATATATATATATATATATATATATATATATATATATATATATATATATATATATATATATATATATATATATATATCACTTTGTTACGGTTCTTTGCAAGTTTTAAAAACCTGAGTGAAAAAATACAAAACTAAACCAAGTAAAAATCTTAACAAAAGATAAAATAAATAAAAGAATATATATATATGTATTTATATATATATATATATATATATATATATATATATATATATATATATATATATATATATATATATATATATATATATATATATATGTATATATATATATATTATATATATATATATATATATATATATATATATATATATTTATATATATATATATATATATATATATATATATATATATATATATGTATATATATATATATATATATATATATATATATATATATATATA